AACCCCAAAACCCCAAAACCCCGAAGTTTCAATCATTTTAGAAATTCTGAGATGGCAATAAAAATTAACAATATAATTGAAATGAAGTTTATCGTAAGTTGACCAAACCATTTACCCTTTAACAAATGAATTCAATATCAATTTTCTATAGACTGATATCTTATTGAGTTTATTTTGCAGAAGACCAAAAGCAGTGCCCAGATCGAATGGACAACATAGGAGATACAGACTATTCAAAGATGAAATAGAAAGAAAATAAGTTTATGAGATGCTGAATACATAATCATATCATCCTCAGAGAAATAGAATGGTGAGTTAGAGCAAATAAATTTAGAAAGCTCATCCTAACCAAGTTTATAAATAATCTAGCCAGTAATTAAATAATAACAGAAATTTTGCACATAGCAACTAAAATGTTGCCTAAAGGCCATTTAAAATAGTTATAATGGCATAATAAGAAGAGAAATCAATAAATCAAACTTAAACTCAATAAAAGGATTAAAAAATGAGTGAAAATTTACCAACGAAATCTGATTAAGAAGTATAAACATAAATAATACAGGAGATCCCTTTGCAGAGTAAGGAATCTAAACCTTAAGAAATATAAAATACTGATCAAATTGCAAAAGCAACAAAAGAGGAGCCTAAACCTTAGAAGCCAATCATTATAAGTGAAGAGGCGAAAAAGAGAGAGTAAGAGCTTAACTTGTAATATCTTATGATGCAAAAACTGTTGTATGCTAAAGAACCATTTTCTAATAAGCAGTATTAGCAAACAAACAGGAAAGATTAAACGAATAGTAAATATGGAGAGGATGACAATGAAGAAATTCAAGATGAGAGTGTAAATTTACTTTCTGATGAAGAAGATTAATAGCATCAAGGGGAGGCTTATATTGATAGTAGTTTGATTGACTAAAATGCTAATTTTCACCTCAAAAATAGATAGAAAGGTTTTGATGGGTTCTAGAAATTGATATGCCCATTGTGTCTAAAATTCATGTACAAGTGTACATCAGCAGTATGTGGTCACTCTTTTTGTGAAAAATGCTTAGATGAATACCTAATAATAAGAGAAGTAAGAAATTAAAATTTTCAAAAAATTCCTATAGAGCTGCTTTGTTTGTGATGAGTTTATAAAGAAGAGACCTCTTCAAAGTTGCTTTTCCATTGATAATGTGATAGACTAACTCGTTTTAAATTCCCAAAATAAGGAATAGATTGAAATTTGGGAGAAATAGAAATTAGATCATAAAACTTGGACTGATTAAAGAAAGTAATTTAAATTGAAATGATATAGAAATTTAGGCTGAAGAACGTTGAGGTTGGAGACTTAGTTGATATGAGAGACAATGTTTATATATGGTGTGTAGCAACAGTAACAATGAAAATTGAAAAAGCAAATAAAGAGCCACTTTTAATAGTTCATTATGAGGGATGGAACAATTACTATGATGAGTTTGTTAAAATTTCCTCAATAAGATTGGCACCATTGGGCTTCTACACAAGTAGAAATGACATTCCTAAATATTAACTCAAATAAGAAAATGCGATGACTGGAGATATCATAAATAGAATTCCACCCAAGAAGGTCAAAGATCAGCAAGTAGAGAATAAAACCAGCAGCAATCAGGGAAGCAAGTCTGAAAATCAATCACAAAAGAAAGAACAAATAGCGGAATCTGGAACAAGCAATAATTAAGCTTTGTCGTAGGAGCAGAAAGATCTTATCTAAATGAGGCGCGAAGCAAATGCTCATATAGGTGACACTCTATATGATAAGATTGATGAATATTTCGATGCTCTATAAAGGCTTAGCAATGGCGAGATAAATGAAGATAAAAATCCTCGCTATCAAGTATATTATGTCAGGAATTACATAGATTATCTTAACAAAGGCCATATAGAAGAAGGTGGTAGTATAATAGATTAGATATTCAATGATGTTCCCCCAAGCATTATTCAAAACTATTAGAATTCTATGTAATAAAATGCTATTGCTAGGATAGATTAGAATCCCTAACTATAATAGCAACATTAAGCTTTAGTTAGATAGCCTGGATTCGGAGGATTGATGCCTCCGAGATGAATAGAAAGCATTATTGAATAAGAAAGTCATGCAGCAATAATTAATTCATATGTAGATAGAATTAGATAATAGAGACAGAGCTTGTAGAGAATATCTCAGGCTCTTTCTTAGATTAACCCTAACGTTGAGGCTGTTGATAATAATAGATGAGGAAGCAATTAATGAGGATAAGTCTCACTAACCAATATATTCAAACTAATATAATTAATTCTAATAAAATAAGCATTTTAATTACGAATCTTGATGTTCATGGGGTTTTGGGGTTTTGGGGTTTTGGGGTTTTGGGG